AAAATTGGGCAACTATGGTAAATGCTCAGATTTGCAACAGCAACAACAAAAATGTATCTGGGGCTACTTAGGCATAACGGATCACTAGTGGTCTATTGGTAAGGGGTTGTGCTGTGAACTCAAAGGTAGGTGATTTGGATTCACCAGCATCTCTGCAGGAGAACGATGGACAGTCTCCTGTGTGATCTACAGACTTTAAAAACCTGCTAGAAGGTTATCTATGAGTTGGTTTCCACTTGATGGCATGTCACAACAAAATCACAAAGATATAAGTATATCCATCTATATCTGTAAGCAGGCACATGATGGTGCATCGTATATGTTTTGGTGTATTGCTTTTCTTCTTACTAGGTGCGATAGAATTGATGCCAACTCATAGCACACCTATGAACAGATCTGAACCTTGCCCTGACTTGCTATATCCTCTTGATCTCTGATATGATCAATTCCACTGTTAACAGTCACTGGTTAATCTATCTTGTTGAAGTTCTTCCTCTGACCCTCTACTTTTCCCAGAATGATGACTGTCCAAGAACTAGTCTCTCCTGACAACATGCTCAAACTATGTGAAACAAAGTTTCACCATCTTTGTCCCTAAAGAGCACCCTGATTGCCCTTACTTCAAAACAGACTTGTTTGTTCCTTTGGCACTTATGGAATATTTAGAACTATTCTCCAATATCATAATTCATAGTTATCAATTCTTCTATCATCTCAATCCAATGTACAACTTTTTTAAAAATTTATTAATTTTAATGAACATTTACAGAGATTTTGGGTTTCCATTCATTCATTCATTGTCCAATGTGCAACTTTTAGGTCTATAGAAAGTAACTGAAAATATCATTGCTGAGTAAAGTGCACCTTAGTCTTTAAACAGGCATCCTTGCTCTTTAGCACCTTGGGGAAGTCCTTGACAGAAAGATTTTCCCAATGCAACATGTCTTTTGATTTCTTGAATGCTATTACCATGGGTATTAACTATGGATCCAAGTAAAATTAAATCATTGACAATATCAATCTTTTTTCCACCTACCATGATGTTACCTACTGGTCTAGTGATTAGTATTACTTGTTTTCTTGATATTAAGAATTAACTAACATGAATGCTTTGATCTTCTGGAGCAAGTGTTTCAAGTACTTTTCACTTTCAGCAAACAGATGAGTCTTCCTCCAATCCTGACTCTACAATATTCTTCATATAATCCAATTTCTCAAATAATTTGTTCAACATACAGACTGAATAGGTATGGAGAAAGCATAAAAGCCTTATGCATGCCTTTCTTGATCTTAAATCATGCAGTATTCCTTTGTTCTGTTTGGACAACAGTTTCTTGATCTATGTACATATAGGTTTCACATTAGAACAATTAATGTTCAGGGATTCCCATTCTTTTCACTGTAACCTGTAATTTTAGACATAATTTGTTATGATCCACATAGTCAAATGTCTACATACTCAATAGAACACAAGTAAACAGCTTTTTGGTATTCTCTGCTTTCAGCCAAGATCAATCTGACGTAAGTAATGTACCATATCCTCTTCTGAATCCAAAGGAGTTTAATTTCTGGGGTTCAGTGTTGATGTACTATTTCAGCCAGTTTTTAATCAATGTCAGTACAATTTTATTTGTGTATAATATTTCTCAATAATTTCACAATTTTTTGGAATGAGAACAAATACAGATCTCTTCCAGTTGGTTGCCCAAGTAGCTATCTTCCAAATTTCTTGGCATAGACTACTGAACATATCCAGGGCTACATCTGTTTGTTAAAACATGTCAGTTGGTATCATCATATCATTTCCTGGGACCTTACTTTTTGCCCATCCCTTCAGTGCAGCTTAAATTTCTTCCCTCACTACTACTGGTTCTTGATCAGATGTTACTTTCTCTAATGTTTCAGTGTGGATCAATTCTTTCTGGTTTAGTGACTCTGTATTCCTTCCATCTTCTTTTTTAAATTTCCTTATACTACCTCTTATGAAATTAATCACCATTGATCTATGCCCACTATTACCCAATCTTTTCAGACACTAGATCTTTCCTAGCTCTCTTACCCCCTCTATCCACACACCAAATTGTGACCCTGGGAATTCTATACCTCCTCCCAAACCCACAGGCCCACTCCCCACTCACCTTTTCTCTTTTAACATTTATGCATATCTTACTAGTTATCCTTCTATTTTCAAAATAATGGTATTATATGGAATTTGTCCTTATGAGTTAATTCACACAATAAAATGCTCTTCAGCTTTTCCTATGAAACACAGTATTTTTTTTTTGGAAAATTTTTTACATTTATTTTCTTTTTCTCTATGTCTCTGGGAGTATGACTAATTTATATTGTATTGGAAAGAATCATAGTGAATCTTCTCTGAAATATTTTGATTGTATTTTTTATTTTTTTTACTTTTTTAATTTAATTTAGTTTGTTTATTTTTCATTTCAATGAACATCTACAGAGATTTTGGAATTCCATTCATTCATTGTTGCATGAAACACAGTATTTTTTAAAATCATTGTTCCCGAGTGCTGCATAATATTCCATCCTGTATATGTTCCATAAATTCTCAATCATTTTTTGTTGGTGGACATTTGGGCTGTTTCCATTTTCCTACTAATTGTGATAAATGCTTCTATGAACATTGGTGTACAAATCTCTGTATCTCAGTTCTGTTTTCCTCAGGGTATATTCCTAGCAGTGAATAAGTGTGTCTTACGGAATTTCTGTATTCAGCTTTTTGAGGAAACATCAAATTGCCTACCAGAGTGGTTGTACCATATTAAAATCACACCAACAGTGCATGAAATTTCTAATCTCTCCATATCCTGTCTACTTGTTGCTCTTCTAAACTGTGCCACTGCCACTGGGATGAAATGGTATCTCAATGTGTTTTTAGTTTGCATCTCTATTATTGCCAGTGATTTTGAGCATTTCTTCATGAATTAGTTGGCCATCTGAATGTATTCCTTTGTGAAAAGTCTTTCCATGTCTTTTGCCCATATTGTTATTGGGTTATCAGAGTTTGCAGTTTTTTGTTGTTTTGTTTTGGTTTTGGGGTGTTTTTTTTCCCTTCTGGAGGCCCTGTAGTATTCTTTAAATTTGTTATGAGATCTTTGAAATGTCACTGTTAGAAGCTTTTCCCCCCAGTCAGTAGATTTTCTTTTCTACCCTACTGGGGGAAAAAAGAAAAGATGCACACAGGGACTCAATCTTCAATCTTCTTTTGATGCTTCTAGCATCATTCTAGATATTGTCTTTTAGTATGACTACTCAATACTTGAATTTGTTTGTTCAGTTATTTGAGCTTAAGAAATCCTAGCATGTTTTCCCTATTGATTTTCTAACTCCAAGTCTTTGCATATTTTGTCTTCTTGAGCCACCATTGGAAATCTGTTTATCTCTTTTATTTATGCATTTGTCGCCTTTGGTTTGGCCTCTCTATGTCTTAGTGCAATTTTCAGTCTCTTCTGGCATCCATTTTGGTCTTTTCTATCTTTCCTGTGTTTATCATGATCTTTGACTTTCTTCATGGATGATATCCTTGATGTCATTCCACCACTCATCTGGTTGTCAACCATTGTTAATTGTTGTTGGTGCTATTTGCTGTTGATTTAAGTACAACTCATAGTGACTGTATGAACAATGACTCTGAGCCTTGCACTATCCTGAATCAATCTCATCATCTCCAACATACCTGAGCCCATTGCCACAAGTCAGTGTGCCAATCCATCTCATCTAGAATCTTCCTTTCCTGCACTGACCCTATAATATTTCAGGTATGATTTCCTTCTCCAAAGAGTAGTCCTTTCTGGAAATATGCCTAATATATATGAGATGGAGCTTCAAAATCCTTGCCATCAAGCAGAAACCAGGTTTCATCCTTTCCAGGACAGATTTGATTGTTCACGTAGCAGTCCATGGTACTCTTCTCCAGCACTACAAGTCAAAGATGTCTATTTTTCTTCTATTTTTCTATTCTGTCCTTAGACACTGTCATGTGCATAGCAAGCAATTTAGAAAACTGGTCCTTCACAGTAGATTTTCCCAATGCAATTCTTCTTTTGATTTCCTGAATGCCAGTGCCAAGAGTTTTGATTGTGGTTTTGAGTAACATAAAATTATTAACAATCTCAATCTTTTCTCCATCTATCACGATGTTGCATATTTGGTATGGTGGTGAGGAGGTGGCTTTCATAAACAGAATTTTATTTTCTTCATCTTGCTAGAAGAGGAATATTCCTGGGAAAGGGATATCATGCTTGGATAGGTGGTGGGTGAGTGAAAGAAAGGAAGTCTTTCTACAGGACTGACACATTGATTGCAGCAATGGGCTTAAGTGTGTTGAAGATGGTGAGGATGGCACAGGAAAAGACGGAGCTTAGATCTATTGTTCATAGAGTCGCTATGAGTTTTACTAAGACATTGTAGTAACACAGCATGTCATCTTGTTATGGATTGTCACAAACTATTAAAACCTACAACTAAGCTATAACTGTGAATAAAAGAATGTTCTTTATAATAAAGCAATATTTAATTTCTACCTGCAGGTAAATATCACTCTGAGAATTTATTTTAATACTATGCTTTAGCATTTTTCACTCTTATGCATAAGTACTTGTAATACACACAACATATTAAATGCTGTGACTCTAGCCACATTATAAATGGGGAGAAATTATGGAGACATAATCCATTGTTATCGACTTAATTTGACTCATTGTATTCCTGTAAGACAGAGGAGAAAAGTCCCACAGGGCTGTAATCTTTTGCCTAAGCAGACTGTCATATCTTCCTCCTGCTGAGCAACTAGTGGTTTCAACCTGTCAACATTTTGGTTAGTTGCTGAGTGCTTTTACCATACAGCTCCAAAGAGATATAATGACACCATTTTTGTTTGAGCCTTTAAAAGACTATCATTTCAGTTTACAAGGCTCCATTGGGCCTAAGCTACTGTTTTAAGACTAGAGACTAGGAAGTCTGGGTTACAAGTTTACCCTATGGCGTGTCTCTCCAGGAGTCTCTGAACTGGCATTGACAGCTTTCCCAAAAAGCGCTTGATGATAGGACGGCTCTTGGCAAACTTGTCTTTCACCTCAATTTCCAGCACATCAGTAGGCAAGGACACAAAGCTGAATTGCTGCAATGAAAAATATGTCATGTCAATTATCTTGTGAGGTGAGAGGATTGGCCAGGTCCCAGTCCATCTGCCTGGGATGATATAATTTTAAGATACACAAGCTGTAATATATAACAAGATCCTAGAAATTCAGTGGCTTCTGTAAATAAGATGATAGGCAACAGTGAGGCATTGCCAACCCAAAAACATGTGGTTTAAATGCATCATCTGCTTCTTGGGAGAAAGATGGGCAAACTCCTCCCATGTGATTTATATCCCCTAAATATCTACTCGAGGATCAATTATGAGTCAGTTCTGACTTGACAGCACATAACAACAACAGATAAAAGGCTAATCCCTGAGACACAAGAAATAAAAATCAGTATGCCTGTCATGGATTGTGTATGTCAAAAATATGTGTCAGTTTGTTTGGAGCACGACCTCCAATATTGTGTGATTATTCTCTATTTTGTGGTGCAGAATCTCTGTCTGTGCTTAATAAAGCAAGAGTAGGTTATATCTGTTACGCTAATAAGGTAAGATTAGGGTGGGATGTATCATCTTTTTTAAATCATTGCACTTACTCAAGTGACAACACTGCTCCTACAGAAGGGGAGTTGCCCTGTGGTATGGCCTGCATCATCTTTTATCTTACAACAGATATGAGGAGAAATAATTGTCCAAAAGGACAGACCACCAAAAAGAAGAGCCAAAGGGGGAGGATGTCATTTGGAACTGGGGTTAATGTGCTGAGTAGCTCCTCAAACTCATTGCCATTGAATCAGAACTGATTTCTAGCTAAATTTCCACAGGCTGTAATTACACAGGTCCATCTTTCATTCTCAGAGCAGCTGATGGATTTGATCCATCCATCTTTCCATTGTCAGTTCCGTACCAGAGATCAGAGAACCTCCTAAACCGATGAAAATACTGATGCTAAGCCATTTGGCAATTTCCAAGAAATATTGGACCCACAAATTTAAAAGGAGGAAAGGACTATTTTAGAGCCAAAAGAGAGGAAAAAACCTTTCTCTAAAGCTAGTATCTTGAGTTCATACTCGCAACCTCCCAAAATGTGAGAAAATAAATTCCTGTTTATGAAAGCTACCTACTTGGGGGATTTCTCTTATAACAATACTTGATAACTAAGATGATACCTTAAAAAGGTAACACTCAAATCTTTAGCCAACCTAGATTAAGTTTTATACATTTAAAGAAAAGCAAGCATAAACTCAACTATAATTAAAGAAATTCACTTTAAAACCACAGCTCAATACCTTTTTCAAGATTCGAATTGCAGAGATTTCTAACAGTTTGATGATTATTGCCCTACACCATCCAAGAGGGCTCTTACCTTGTGTCAATTACAATATTCAGTCACTCACTAAGCAAAATAAGCATGATCTTACTTGAGTTTCCTTAGAGAGCTCTGGTGGTGTAGTGGTAATGAGTTACCCTGCCAATCCAAAGGTACATGAGTCAAATCCACCAATTTCTCTGTAGAAGAAGATGGGCAATGGCATCCTATGTCATTAACTGCCTCTGAAAACCTGCTGGAGGGCCAGCTAAGGGTAAATTCCTACTTGACAGTACACAACTAATGTGAAGAGAATAATTTCACATTTTCCCCCACATCAAAGATATTGCTTCTAGATATGATTGGAATCATCTGCTTCTGTGCAACCCATAGCACCTTTCTACAAAATTAAACCCTCTTTTCAAATATACAAACTCTGACAGTAATAAAGTTAGCAAGTTCAATGGATGAATGGATAAAGAAACCATTTTATATTCACAGAATGGAGTACTATGCAACACTGAAAAACAGCAAGGAATTTAAAAATTCTACATAATAAGGATTCATCTAAGGGACATTATATTAAGCAAAATAAGTCAGTTGCAGAAGAAGTATTATGGTATAAGAGCACTACTCTAAAAAGATAAGGAAAAGTTTGCACACAAATAAAAGGAATGAGAAGGGAAGAAGAGGAATGTAAAACTTAACAAATAAGTTGAGTGAAGGGAAAGGCAATACACACTAAGAATCTTATCAGACTCTGTAATCAAATAATTATATTAATCAATTGGAATTACTATTAAAAGTATGTATTAATTATTAAATTGTAATTATAATGCTATAAAACAAAATATGTATGTGGGGCTTAATGAAAATGAATATTTGTGAACTTTTGTTGAAATAAAAAGATATGAATAAAAGCTCACACACACAAGCTGGGCAACAGTTGAAATACATGAAGAAATGTTCAAAATCCCTAGCTCTTAGAGAGCTGCAAATCAAAACAACTATGAGATATAATTTCACCCCAGTAGGAATAGCAAAATTTAACAGAACAGCAAACACTGGCAAGGTTGTGGAGATATTGGAACCCTTATTCACTGTTGGTGGGAGTGTAAAATGGTGCAACCACTATGGAAGGCTGTATGGTGCTTTCTCAAAAAGTTGCAAATACGAATACCATTTGACTCAGCAATTCCACTACTGCATATACCCTAAAGAAACCATAACTGCCACCCAAACAGATACATGCACACCTATGATTATTTTGGTTTTGTTCACAATAGCAAAGAGTTGGAAACAACCCAAGTGCCCATCAACAAATGAATGGATAGAAAAGCTGTGGTATATTCATACAATGGAATACTGTGCTGCATTGAAAAACAAGGAACTCATGAAATATTACACAAAATGGTTGACCCTGGAGGACATTATGCTAAGTGAAACATCTCAGTCACAAAAGGACAAATATGGCATAATACCACTGTTATAAAAGAGGAATGACTGCTTTGTCCACTATGGTGAAGTGACCAATGACTTTGTTATGCTGAAAGGCTGTGTGGTAGGGACCAAGAAGCGAGTGCTGACTCTCCGCAAGTCCTTGCTGGTGCAGACCAAAAGCCGGGCTCTGGAGAAGATTGATCTCAAGTTCATCGACACCACCTCCAAGTTTGGCCATGGCCGCTTCCAGACAATGGAGGAGAAGAAGGCCTTCATGGGACCACTTAAGAAAGATCACATTGCAAAAGAAGAAGGTGCCTAAGTCAGGACTAGATGGAGGGGTCACAATAAAAAATTATTTTCCAGTAAAAAAAAAAAGAGGAATGACATAGGGGTTGGGGAGAGACTGAGAAAGAGAGGATAAATAATGTATACTGCATTGAAAGAGATGAGGGAAAGAACTGTTTAAAATGAATATATGATTGGATGTTATTGTTATGACAGGAACCCAGAACAAAGGTAGCATAGTGGAGTGGACTTGGGGGAGAGTTTGAATAATGAAAGAATTTTTTCTTTTACTTTTCAAAGAGAAAAGCTAATTGGAGGGGAAGAGTGGGCAGAGAGAAAAGTGCAACAATGAATGAATGGAAATCTAAAGTCTCTGTATACATTCATTAAAATCAATTAAAGAAAACCCTTAAAAATAAAATAAACCTCAGAAGGCAGAAAAGAACAGGATAAAAGGATTACTGGAAGCAATAACACAGGGAGGAAGTGGGAAGAGTGATGTTACAAATTGGGAATTGTAGTCCAAATGTCATAAAACAAGATGAATGGTTGGTTGGAGTATGAAATTACTCTGTCAACTTTTTCTCAAATCATAATAAAAAGGTTTTTCTAAATGGAATAAAAAACACAAAAAAAACCCCTGCTAATTTATTTGTAAGATAATTTTTTATCATTGTAAAAGACTAATTAGGAAGAACATACTATGTCTGCTAATATTTGGATTACTGCAGGATGGTCAAGGGATAACTAACCAGCAAGTGTCAATAACTTAAGAAGATACAGACTTTTATTTCTCATTCATGTTTCTGTTGTGGGCTCTGTTCATCCATCCTTCAGGGAGCAAAACTGATGTAGTAGCCACCTCTCAAACTACACCACTCATATGATGAAAAGAAATCAAGCTCTAGAGGTTCTACAAATAAGCACCCTTTGCAAGCACAACCTTTCAGCTAGACTGGGACATAGGCCCTAGCTTCTCTCAGGGATCTGGAGGTATGGTGCTGCAGTGGATCTGAATAATAAAGAGCAGAAATATAGACAGCAGAAGTATTTCCAAACAGCATTAATGACTTTTACACACTTCATATTGTAGCTCTTCTTTTCATTTAAAATTTATTTTAGCTAATTACCATAAAATTTCTTAACAAGGCCCTAAATGGTGACAGTGGTTAAAGTGCTTAACTCTTAACTAGAACGTTGGAAGTTTGAGCCTATTCAGAGTTTTCTCTAAAGAAAGATCTGTTGATCTACTCCTGAAAAAATTAGTTACTGAAAACCCAATGGACCTAGATACTACTGTGACACAGTGGTGTTATCATGAGTCAAGGTTCATCTCATGGCAACTGGTGATAATTGTATAATTTCTAAAAACTCATCACTCCTAATTCTGACAAAATTTTTAGGCTAAAAACTCTGGTGGCCTAGCTTCTTAGTTGCACTGCAATCCTGAAGGCACATGGTTCGAGACCACTAGCTCCTCTGCAGGAGAGGGATGGGAAACCTCCTCCTGTGTGCTTAACTGCCTCTGAAAACCCACTGGAGGGTCAGCTATGGTTTGTTTCCAACTGTATAGTACACAACAACAAAATTGAAGATCAAATTCAAGAATAGGTACATGTCTAAGAAGGTCTACTAAGAGAATCCATGCCCTTAACTATCCCAGGTCCTCAAATCTTTTGGATTTTGTCCAGCAATTCCATTTTAGAATATATTTAAATAAATCTTCTAATCTAATTGTTCAGAAATACAAGCTGGGTATGGAAGAGGTTATGACACTAGAGACATTTGCCAACGTCAGATGGATCTTGGAAAAAAGCAGAGAATACCAGAAGAATATCTATCTGTGTTTCATTGACTATGCAAAAGCATTTGTCTGTGTGGATCACAACAAATATTTGCTAACCTTGAGGGGTATGAGAATCTCAGAACACTTAAGTGTGCTTATGCAAAAGTTGTATTTGGGCCTTTGAAAACCTACTGGAGAATCAGCTCTGGG